ATGTGGTGCTGAGGATCAAACCCAGTGCCTCACATATATGGCAGAAATGTTCTACCACTGAGCCACAAAACCAGCCCCACTTGAATTCTTGAATGGTCCAAATCTGAGCTGGAGGCTCTGAACATAACCACATTTATCACTACTCATCATTTCTTATAACTAGTTTTGGCTATCTATACCCGAGCTGTTGATAGTCTCATGATAACTTACAGGCTTGTCTGTACAGAACCCACCAACGGAAGAAAATTTCTGATTCCACACAAGTCACAGTGAGCAGCAGTCCCCAAATCAGCTTCCTGTTCTGAGGCCTGGATGATAGTATCTGCAGCAGTTGACAGTAGAAGAGAGTTGCCATAGGACAGTCATTGAGGAAGAAACAACATAGAATTTAGAAGAAACATTTCAGAGCACAGAAAAAAGAAAAGGGGATCTTAAAAAGTGCTAAATTCTGTCAAAGAAGAATGCAAAGTTGTAGCCTGGACAATTTGGCTCTGTACAGAAAAATATGAAAATTTTCTATAGCATTTCTAGTAAGATATACAGGTTTTAGGGACAGGATCCTTGCAAAGGATGCAACAGAATTTCCCCATAACATATTTACACCCCATCAACATAACTGACCTCTGCCAGGAGAAGTGTAAAAAGGGATATTGAAAACATTCTGGAGGTAAAACTGTTAAAATACTAATTCAGATTTTAAAATAATAAAACCCAAGAATCTAAATGTGAAGTTAAATATTTTTTATCATTTAAAATATTTGAAAGACCTCTTATTCCAGAAAAAAGAAAATAAAAATTTTACTAATTTCATTGGAATAACAATCAATACAGAATATCTCTTTTCTCAGGGTAACCTAAAAATATTAGTGTAATTGGGTTTCAAAGTATTAGAGCTGAGAGGATGAGCTATTTCTGTGAAACATCTGTTGCCAGGGATAACAACGGAAAATAAGAAAGATTTTAGATTTTGGACGTCCCAGAATCAGGAGAAGATTATAAATAGAAACATGCTAAGAGAAATTAAAAAGCATGCCCCCTTTTTAAATGGAAAAGGGAATATAATTGAAGGACAAATTCCAGGAGGTAGAGATGATAGAAAGAGGAAAGATGACTAAGAGAGTCCTCCAGGAAAGTTGAGATCTTATACTGTCATTGGAAAATGTTGAGTGCCTTTGCTTTTTTTAAGTGTGTCTTCTAATAACAAAAAACAAAGTATATACTTCAGAAGTTTGTTCTATCCTAAGAACTTAGCACTGTTTTATGTGGTACAAAACAGAAGGGGAAGGAGAACACTACTGGAAAACCTGGAGAGAGAAAGCAAACATATTTAGAGAAAAAGAGACTGAGGGCAAGAATTTTAACCAAGGACATGATTCTAAAACACAGCATTCCTAGAAGCTTAGCAGGGAAAAAAAAAAAAAAACCATAGCCAAGGGCAGAATGTCTTGTCACCTTCTGACTACTAGGTTTAAATCAGAGGATCTTCTCTGCTTTCACATTTTCCCACATGACTCCAGGTAGAACCATCCATCATTAATCTCCCATTTGAAAATGTTGCTATTGCTAATACTACACACAACTTCGTGTTTTAAATGGCTTTATATTAATTTTCATTTATACTGTATTAGGCAGTCTCAATGTTTCCATGTCTGGGTCACAAAACCTAATGAATAAATTATTACACATAATATGGTTGGATTCAGATTTATTCTATTTTTTGGAACATCATTTATTTAATTAGGTGACCAAATTAATGCAAACACACACAGAAAAAACAGCAACAAATGAATGAATTAATAAATATTTATTTTCTTACCAGGAGGATTTAATCCAAATCAGGAGAAGGAAGACATACTTAGACCCATGATAGAGGCTGTATTCATTCTGTCTGTGGGTTATTTTGCATATTCTGTAGAAACAGGAAGAGATACATTCATATACTCTTATGCTGAACTATAACAGGCAAATCTGTTCTATTTTTTTCTGGGCTTCCTTTCCCAATTTACAGAATAAGAAATTAGAGAAATAATCCCGAATAGAACCTACCAGGCAGTTATTTCAAAATTCATAGAAGTAAAGTTGCCCAGGAGGCTGATTTTAGGGCCAACTTGAACTGCTGGCATGGGACCAGCAGCTATGAAGAAGGAGGACTGAGAGCCTGAAGTCAGACTCCAAGGCAGTGCCAGAGCTGACAAGGACTGTTATGGCTGTCATCATGCAAATCTCACCCTGTAGGGCCACACCCTAGTCTTGGCCAATGAGCTCATTAGGGCAGGGAATGTAGGAGTCAAGGCTGGGCATAAAGGACAGAGCAGGGCCAGCTGCTGCTTACACTTGCTTCTGACACACTTGTGTTTGCTAGCAACCCTCCAAAAAGACACAATGGTGCATCTGAGTGATGGGGAGAAGAATGCCATTAGTACCGTCTGGGGCAAGGTGGATGTAGATGCAGTTGGTGCTGAGGCCCTGGGCAGGTGAGTGTCCATGTCACGAGGCAGCTTGGGGTAAGAAGGGGATTGGAAGCTGAGCATGTGGAGATAGACATCTCTGACAGGCACTGACTTTCTCTGTGACCTGGCTCTTTTCACCCCCTCAGGCTGCTGATTGTCTACCCATGGACCCAGAGGTTCTTTGATTCCTTTGGGGACTTGTCCTCTGCATCTGCTGTTATGGGCAATGCTAAAGTGAAGGCTCATGGCAAGAAGGTGATTGATTCCTTTAGTAATGGCCTGAAACACCTCGACAACCTCAAGGGCACCTTTGCAAGTCTCAGTGAGCTGCACTGTGACAAGCTGCATGTGGATCCTGAGAACTTCAGGGTGAGTCTAGGACATCCCTCAATGTGATCCTTCCTTTTCCTTCCTAAGGATAAGTTCATAGCAGGAGGCAAAGGCATCAGTATGTTTGGGACAGTTGATCTTTTATTGTCCATTGACACTAATTGTTTCCTCTCATTTCATTTTCATTTCCAGTTTTTGTTTTCTTCAATATATGCTCTGTCTTCTTCCATTAAACTTTCTAGATTGTATTTGTAAATTAAACATCTTTCATCTTTTAATTTCATTTAAAAATTTTACCTACTTTAAAATGCAGTTGTGATCTGTCTTTCAAGCAAGGAAAATAAGCTTTGTCGTGTTTCTTTGTACAGTTTTAAAGAACAACAGTGAAAAATTTATCTTCTGGGTTAGGGAGATAGGGAAGAAAACTTATGCTTATAAATTCTGACAGATACATGAGAATTCATATCTGTAGCAGAAGCTAAGTCTAGCTATCATTCTTCTTTTATTTTATAATTACAACCACAAGCACAGCTGGAGATGAGGTTGGAATATTCTCTGTTCATGCTCAGACTCTTCATATTCACACCTCTTCTTTCTTCCCACAGCTCCTTGGCAATGTGATTGTGATTGTGCTGGCCCATCATCTGGGCAAGGATTTCACCCCAGAGGCACAGGCTGCTTTTCAGAAGGTGGTGGCTGGTGTGGCCAATGCCCTGGCTCACAAATACCACTAAGCTACCTTTCTTGCTATCTATCTCATACAAAAGGCCTTTTGTCCCAGAGAACAACTACTAAATATTGGGCAACTTATGAAGGCCTTTGAGCAACTGGCTTCTGCCTAATAAAATCATTTTTCATTGCAATGGTGTACATTATTTTTGTGTCTTTTATTCATGAGGGAATGTGGGAAGACAAGGCAATTAAGACAAAAAGAAATGAGAGCTAATTCAGGCCTTGTGCTAATACACCTCTTACTTATTTTCCCCAGCCTTTCTCATGAGTTTCTCTTCTTTCTCCAGTTTCTTCCCCAGAACTTCACAGCCTTAGTCCACCCAGTTCTCCTCTTATAGATTCCACTCCTCCCCAAGGGTTTACTTGCATGTTTTCTGGACACATTTCTTCTTTTCCCCTCTTGCCTATTTTTGCCTCTGTTTTCTCATAGGTATCTGTCTGGGGAAGGGAGAATAGTAGAAAGTGGCTTTGCCACCATGTCTTTTGAGAACTTGTTCTCTACTTCTACCATTAATAGTGGCCAAAAATCTGCAATGCTGTTCTTCTTGGAGTCTTTGCTCTTACAGAGTTTGCACTGGAAGGAGTGGGCTTTAATAGTGTGATGACTGTAGGGCTTAGGATGCTTTTATGGCTCGATATTTATTGTTGTCTTACAATCTTTATGTGATTGTAAGACAACAATAAATACCATGCCAAATAGAATTCCTCTTCTTCCTCAAGATGTTTATCATTAATATTTGAGAAATTTTTAGAGATCTGCTTTCTTTCTTAGCCTTCCTGTAATGGCTTTTCTGCTTCTGTAGTTATCAGTGTTGCCATGAGCAACATCTAGTTCATTTTGTTATTCAGTGTTCACTTTGATATATGCTACTTTCTGGAAGGATGGGTTTTAAGTGGTTCCTCTCCTCTATCCCAATTCTGAATCTAGCTGGCAAGTAGAAAACAATGCATATAATAAGTGATAACTGTGGAAGTATTTGCACAAGGTTTTAACAGGTTACAGTATGAAGCCCTCCAAATGAAATTAAATTAGCTTACATATGTGTACAAAAATAAAATTAAAATGGTTTAAAACTTAAAGTGAGGCCAGGCAAAATAATTTTTCAGAGAAAAACACAGAGTTGTGGCAACAAGCTTTTGGATTTGACACCAAAAGCACAGGGAACAACAACAAAATACACAAGTGGGACTATATCTAACTAAAAAGCTTATGCTCAACAGAGGAAATAGAAAAATTACAGTAAATCTCTGATACAGGATAAAATATTTGTTGAATGTATATCTGTCAAGAAGTTAATATTTAAGATATATAAGTAACTCATATAACTCATTACAAATAATATGAAATGGATAGAAGAACTGCACTGACATTTTTCAAAAGAAGACAAACAAATGGCCAACAGGTACATGAAAAGAAGTTCATTGTCACTAATCTGAAGGGAAATGCAAATTAAAACTACAAATAAATATCATCTAACTCTTATTAAAATGGCTACTATCAAAAAGACAGAGATAAATGTTGCTGAGTATGTAGGTGTATATATAAATTATACACACATGCATATGTGTGTGTGTGTGTGTGTGTATCAGAATTTATAAAATAATATGAAATTGACAGCCTTGGTAGGGTTTTTTTGTGGGTGATAGTTTTCTTAGTTGATGCTCATGGCACATGCAGTGACTGTTCCCAATGGCTCACCAATTGAATTTTTCTATCAGTTCTGCTAGAGGGAAGATGGTATGCACAAAATCCATTTCATTCTAGTCAATTGCACAAAAAATGACCTGGAAAATTCCCTTGGCTCACATCTAAGTGCCTATAAAGACAACCCTGAGAGAAGAAATAGTTTCATATAAGAAACTAATAACAAAACATTATTTTATGAAACATTGGTAGAAAACAATTATCAGTTATTGTCACAGATTTACGTGTTCATAATCATTGCAAAAATATTCCTGATTGTGGGGTTGACTTAGTTGAAAATATATATCCTTCTCAAATAAAAATATTAAGCTTTAATTCAGCATACTGAAATAAACAATGCCCCCCTACCTTGTTGGGTGTTGGGAATAAGATAAATGTTATTTTCTTGAAGAAAAGAGATGGTTACATTCTGATGAGTATTACTGAGTTACAGACTGTGATTCTGGGAGAAATTTCCAGCAAAAAAATATACAATACCCCAGGAACCAGGAACTTAGATTTTTCTGGATATTATGTACTTTTAAAAAACTATGTGGTGTGGGGCTGGGGATGTGGCTCAAGCGGTAGCGCGCTCGCCTGGCATGCGTGCGGCCTGGGTTCGATCCTCAGCACCACATACCAACAAAGATGTTGTGT